AGAGAGGGAGAGAGGAGAGAGGAGAGAGGAGAGAGGAGAGAGGAGAGAGGAGAGAGAGAGCCTAAACCATTATGAGCTATAGCAAGATCTAATTTTTAGAAACAACTTTGGCCTGAACTCAAGATCTCTAAGCCCACTCAAACCAGGCTCTTATCCTAAAGTCCTAGCCATGACAGGACCCAGACAGGGGGTGCCTTGGCTACTTCATGCTATTACAAGAAACTGTTTCTGAAGAGCTTCAGCCGAAGCGACGGTATCATACCTGCGCTGGCTCCCCTTTATCACCCTTCTCCACAAAGACAGCATTTTCTGGTTTCTACCCAGTCTACCGCATCCTCCCTGACAACTGCCTTCTAATTCAGTCTTTCAAAGTATCTACCGGTTCTGGTGAGACGACAGTTTTGTGACCTGTGATGCCAGCAGGAAGAGGAGGCAGTGGAGGTGGCAGCGGGCAGGCAATGGCCACTGCTACAGCGAGCACAGATTCCGAGGACACAGAACGTGAAGACGTTCCACCCAACACTGGGGGCCCCGCAGGGCAAGACCAGGTCAGGTTATCTTCACATCTGAGGTTTCAGAGGTACCCTCATCTCTCCCTGACATAGGAGGGGTGTGGAGGCCGCCCAGGTGAGCTACTTCAAAGACTCTCTTCGCCATCCATGCCACACACAACCCCCAGTGACTCCCTGGGAAGGTTTTACCTCCATGATGGGACTGGATGCCAGGACCTTCTCCTCAATGTTGGTGTCACTGGCTGAGCCACCAACCGTGGCAAAATAGCGCATGGCATACTTGGCCGACACCGTCTTCCCTGCTCCAGACTCTCCGCTGACTATGATGGATTGGTTCTTTTCATCCCTGGAAGGGAAAGAGCTCTGGTCAGTCACTGGCCATGGAAAGGTGCTGCGGCCTGCCAGGGACTCCGATGGAGGGGAACCTGGTAAGGGGCATCTCTTGGCGATAAATATGGATAGCTGAGTGATGTCTGGCCCCCCTCAGAGGTCTACATGAGCTCTGACAATGGGAGGAAGAAAGTAGGTCTGAGCAGGGCTTTCCAACAGCAAAAGCTCACCACCACTCAGGAGAAGGGCGGTGTGGCCAGCAGCTTACCCTAAGGATAGGATAAAAGGCAGTGTGTCCCTAAGAATTTACACACGCATCCTTTCATAGTTTCCTCCAATAGGCCAACTCTGTGCTACTCAACTCCCTAGAAGTTTTAAGAACAAGGATCTTCTCTTGCATTGAGCCTAGCATGCTGGTGGGATAGATTTGGACATTTCTGTTCACGCAGATGTATTACATAAAGGGCATGCCACCAGCCTCACCTCACAAGTAAAAGGATTGCAAAAAAGGGATTAGAGACTAAATTCAAGTCAGAGAAAACAAGGACACCTCACACCACATAGACATGACAACAGTTGTTCTTTTAAAATACAAAGTAGGGAGATAGATCAGAAATGAAAGGTGCATGCTTTTATGTCTCCAAGGAGCACAAGCATTCAAAGCAGAGGGGAATGACACCAGTTGAGACACAGATTAGGGCGAGAAATTGCTTATGATGGTGAACTTAGCCATCATCCCTTTAGTTCACAAAACTACAAGGAAGGCTGGGGCTCCACTCCCAATTCTCCACTCTGATAACAGTGCCTGGTACCACATATGTACTCAGTATCAGCGAGGGCCCAGTGGACCTAATCGCCGCCCCTCCTCCCCCTCCTGCTCCCCCCTCCCCATTTCCTAAATGAAGACATACTTAAAACTCAGGACTCCCAGTACCAGGTCCTCTGATTTCCTAGGCAGAATGGGTACAGAATAACTGAGAAGCCTCCATGATGGGATACCATGCCTTCCTAGTTATTGACGCTATCAGCATGGATGAAAAACTGCCAACTGTCTCCAGGTCAGGGCCAAAGCAGAGGGACTGGGCAATGGTATGATGATGTAAAGGAACCTGTCCAACTTGAGAGGAACTAGAAAGAGAGGAGAGCTCAGCTGGAGGTGTAAGTGCTTGGAGAAATCATGTGAAGGATGGGGTGGGGCTAAAGAGATTGCACCCATAAGGCAGTCCTCATTAGCATGGGGCATAGAGGTCTCATCTCTACTCATGGACAATCAAAAAGGGACCCAAGGGGCTCTGGAAAGCAGACACAGAGAAGATGAAGTTGAATATACCTATCTTTAAATCGGCTACCTAACCAAGTAAAGAAAACGTATGTAGATTCCTTCCTAGCACTTGGGGAATGAAATGTTCCACGTCTTTCTGAGATTCCCCTTCATTCTAAGCCACTGCTGCTCTCATCAACGCTCATTTCCTCTTTCCTTGCTCCCATAACAACCCAACACTAAAAGGTAGCCTCCAAACAGACCTACAATGTGGCTACTTTCCATTTTCATCCATTTATTTATTTATTATTATGTGTGTTTGCCTGCTTTTATGTACATAGACCATGTGTGTTCCTGGTGCCCACGGGAGCCAGAAGAGGAGCCCCTGCAACTGGAGTTACAGATGGCTGAGAGTCACCATGTGGATGCTGGAACCAAGCCTAGCAAACACCCTTAGCTGTGGATACCCTCTCTCCAGCCTCCATTTTCATCCTCTGTGCTTTTCTTTACATTGTCACAACGTCAGGTGTCACCTCTGTTCTCATTACTTCTTTTTACCAAGTCCTTAGAGAACTGATAAGGGGCACGAGTATCCAAGATGGCTGGGAACACAGATAGCCTGGCTTTATACCTTGGTGACCGTCACATGGGTCCTGTCCTCCTCCTGGTGTCCACCCTGAGAGCTCTCTGAGTGTAACAAGAGCCAGATTGGGCAGCCACACCCAAGACTTTGGAGTTTTGTTCAGTTTTTATCCCCAAAGAAGAGAATAAATGCAGGATGGGACTGAGTCCTCAGCAGAGAGCCACATACTGTCCCATTTAACAAGGAATACAAGGAAACACATAGAATCAAACAGCTCAGTCGGGGAGGGAACACATGAGTGCTCTGAGGCTTCCTGCTGCAGCGCAGCACACAAAGCAAAGGGTTCTGGGTAAAACATCTCGCTGGGCAGAGACAAACAAGGCACACAGCCGTGATCCTTATCCCTTTCTGTTCTCAGTGTCAAGGTGCCAACGACTTTGCACAGCGCCCAGAGCAGCTGAGCAAGTGCTGCCCAGGGAAGGGAGCAGTTCATCCAAGAGGTGAGGTGCTTTAGGAGTCAAGCAGCCGAGTCCAAAGATACGTGGCCAAGAAGGAAAAACAGAGGGGCTAGTTTATGTGACAAGTGTCCAGGAAACAAACAGCATCAAAGGAACAAAATGATCATAACCCAGCAGGGTGAGGAGACGGATACATAGCCAGGATTTCATCAGAATCACGACTCTCTATCCCCAAGTTGAAACATCTTTGCATTGTTCTGGCAACAAGGCTCAGTCAGGAGAGTGCTCCCTGCCCAAGCCGAGGACCTGGGTTTGGATCCTCAGTACCCACAGGAGAGGCTGGGTGCAGTGTGCGCACCTGTAATTCCAGCACCGGGGAAGTAGAGACAAGAGCACCCTGAGGCTCGCTGGCCAGCCATTCTAGCTGACAGGTGGGCTTCCAAATTACCGAGAGGAACCATGTCAAAGAATAAGTTAGAGAGCAATCGAGGCATGTAGCTCACGCCCACACACACAATTTTTTTTCAGAGGACAACTACTGGAAGTAACTAACTGTAAGCTCCCACTTCATCTGGCGACCATCAGGGCAGCTACTGCCATGTATGCTCAAGTCAGATAAACTCACTTCTTAGACCACCTAGTCCCGTGAAATACACCTGCAAGGTGTGCACACTACCATGTATCCACCCACGAGGATGGTGGGGCAATGCCACCTTCAACTTTGTTCTTCCAATGTTAGCTTTCCTCCTGACTCAGAACTGGAATCCAGGATACAGACCTCAAAACAGACTTGAATTTGAACCTCAGTTCTGTTACTGATGGCCGTCTGACTTTGCATGCGCTTGTTAACTTACCAACCACTTCAGCATCTCTTACAACTGGGATCCCTAAGGCAGAAGATGTTCTGAGTGGCTGCCTTGATTTGGTAGCGGCGTCTCACTCCCTTGGCAGATTAAATTTCTAAATCAATGATCTAATTACATTTTTCCCCTTTCAAGAAGTTAAAAAGCTATCCAGTACTCATCAAATCAAGTCCAGGCTCCTCAGTTCAGCAATGTGAACCCCTTTACAATATACGATACTAAAGCCATTAAAAAGTATTGGGCAATCTAAAAGAGTGTGCTGATCCCTGCTTCTGCCCCCAACAGGCTCTGCAAGCCACTTGATCATGCTACAGAAGAAAATCTGTACACTGAATATCTGCTAGGAGATCATGTGATAGCTTTGTGAGTTAGCCACAATGGACCACTTAGTTTATAAAGAGCACATACCTTCCCCAGCACTGCATCCAGGGTACTCTCTCAACTGAAGTTCCTTCAGTACAGACCCCTTGGGAGTCATCCTGACTTCCTATCCTGGGCATCTCAGAGAATGTAATTTCTCATCACTCGAAGTCTAGTGTCATTTGTATCGTTCCACTTTTAATATGCTGCCAGCTTTCACGTGACACTGGCTGCAGTTCCTGCCGCATGACTTCCATCTGCCTCCTTCCTCTGGCATTCTGTCTTCTCATCTCTAAATCAGAAAGCTGCAACATGGGTTCCCATGAGAAGTCTCTCCATTTTTGACATTCAATCATTCTACAACTAATACATTAATAGGAGCAGTGGGTAAGGAAACGATTAGTTCCCAATTCCAGTCATTTGGGGATGGGCATGGGGATACATGGATAAATATAGACTCCTACCCAACATCCTTCAATAAATACAACCAATGTTGGCTTCAGCCATTCGGCCCACTTGCAGAGATGATCTAGATGGTGACTTGAGTCAGTCCACTCTTTAATAAATCTTTTTCATTTAAGCCCAGTAAAATTCCCTTTAGAGAAGGCAAACCATGGCCAAGAATCTACTGCCTAGCTGTTATCTGGAGTCTAAGCTGTCTCTAGGATGGCATTCACTACTGCAGACAGAAAATGCCCGGAGAGGTGTGTGCCTCACACCAGAGCAGAGGGTTCTGAGATAAGTAGCTCCTGACAAAGGCCTGACACCAACACCTCCATCCTGCCCCCCTTCCTGGACACCTTGCCTTCAAGACCCTCTAAGTTTTCTTTTCCGTTTCCCACCACAGCACTTTCAGGTGAGACTAGGGATCATCACTGCCCATCATTCAGGTGGGTACAGAACACGGCACATGGGGTTGTTGAGACATGCTCATCCTGTGTCAAGGTCAGCCAAGGAACAGTTGGGGAGTTGGTTTTCAATCCCCTGCAGAAGGGTTGTTTCGTTTGGGCTTCATACAGAGTAATTTGTCACCCGTGGTCTCACGCATACAGGAGCCTGCTTGCATTGTCTTTGAGCTCAGAGACTTGAGGTCTGACTCACAAGCAGCCGACATGGCAGTGGCGTGGGGCCAGGTGTCCCGCCCACACTTATGCGGTACCTTTGATATCTCCTGTCCTCCCACCCAATGGGTGTGGTGCCCATCTAAGCATTCCCAGGCACTGGCCTTAAATCCTCAGTAACCCTGATACCAAGAACTAGGGGGCCTAACTAGAAAGAGAAAGCCAGGCCAATCCTAACACCCACAGGTGTTATGTTTACCTCAGTCAAGCTACCTGGACCCTAAATCTTGGGCACTCCCCTGAGTCAACAGGACCTGTCCTTGTGTGGTGTAGATATAGTGAATGGAGAAAACTGGACAGAGGAGCCAGGCTGCCTAGGCCTTGAGCCCTGTGGAGTGTGGCTCTTTCTTAGAGGCAGAAGGATGCTACT